ATAAATGATAATTTGGTGAAGATGATATTCTGGAGTTCTGTGGAATGTAAGAGGAGAAAAGGCAGATATGAGTATTTGAGCTGGTAATAAGTCTTTGAAATGTGTAAACTCGCGTTTGGGTGACAGAACGGACAAAGGATTTGACAACCCTACTGAGCCAATAGGAGTGCTGCTCTTCAAATTCATTGGACCCAATCATAAAGGTACTTTTTGAGAGTGTACATGATGTATGTTCAGTTGTTGACAAATTTAGTGGCAAATCATTGTTGAATATGAAACTATTTCATTCATCTAATCTGCTGACTCACTGCACCTGCTCCACCTTAGTTACTTGAATAAGAACATATTTTTTATATAATGACAGTTGAGAGGAAAGGGAGGATGTAAAGTTGTAAGTACAGTATGATTAAGTTTAGTGCTCCGATAGCGTGGACAATCCAAGGTAATATTCAAGCTAATGAGGATTTACATGAAGGTTTTGGATCAATATACAATATGTACTTTCTTGGGGTCCATGGACCATATACAGGTATAACAAAATTGGTAATAAGATAGGACCCCCAAGGAAATTGTTGGTGCATTTAAGATGATGAATGGAAGGAATATGAGTATGAATGTTCAAAAGCCTGTAATGATGGAGATGCTTCCTTTTCTTCAATCCATCTGTATGAATAAAAGCAGCCTACTCATAATGGGTAAAAAAATAAATAAATAAAAATAAGTATGAACCTCATAAAACATCACATTAAATTTGAAGGTACTGTAATTAAATGAAGCTTTACTGTTGGGGAATGACTCGATCTCTGTACAAAAAAAAAAAAATAAATAAACAATTTTTGAAGCTGAAATATAAATATATGCAGTGAGTCGTAAGTGGTTTTAGTGAATTACAGTACACTATAAATGCAGTAGAGGGTGGAAGTGGTACAAAAAAAGTATACAAATATTAGTTGTTTACATCAAGAACCATGTGTGTTCAAATAAGTGTTCCTTTTCACAAGTTTTATATCCTATGTGAATGGTATTCATTCCCATGCCATATAGACTACAAAGAAAGTGTTGAAAATTGATTTAAAAATACTGTACAGTATATAGAATAAGACAAATTGTTAAGAAATTAGATTTTTGTTGTCTTGTCATTTTCTTTTTTCACAATGCAAATACTTAGTTGTCCCTCCAGGTGCCTTAAGTCCATTAAAAAAAAAATTGTAAATACATTTTAAGTGACTGACATTGCAAATACTTTATTTCTAATTATACTTAACACAACACAAACCCCACTAGATTGCCAATACATTTAATGACCTGAAGTGATGATATACAGTACTGACTAATAATAAACTACTGCAGTTCAATTTGTTACTCTTATTCTCCAATACACATTCTAAATTCCACTGCCAAAAGGTAATCCATTTTAACTTTTAGAAAATGTTTGTTCCTTGTAGAATTTATTATCGGGCTTACCAAACTTACTTCCAAAGCAAACTTCTTGTGGAAAGTCTTCTTTGATAAACTTTATTGTTGCTAACATTTTCTCTGGGATTTATTAGGAAATAATAACAAAGGGTGAATTTCAGATTAAATTTTGATTTCAAAAGTACCCATAGCCCAGATTTTCCATTGAGTAACTATATACCAAAGACACTCGGTTATTGGTAATCATTTCTTCATGCCAAGACTGCATATAAATGCTTAAGAATATGCAATTGAACCATATCACTTTAGAGGAAGCTTTGGGAAATTTATCTGCAGTTCCATAAACATTTTCTTTTTTCTGCTGCCACAATACAGGGTATTGGTATGCAAAGTACTTGTCAAGTAGCAAAGATTAAATTTTTTAACCAAATAAATCTCAATGTGTTTGCAGGACACCACATGAAAATCAAAGTCTACATTTTCTCTTTTATACTAAAGTATTATTCATTTTATTCCTTAAAATTCTTACAAACAACATATGGATTAAGGGAAATTATAATATGTTTGTTATGCTTTTAAAATAACTCCGCAATCCTGGAACAAGGGATGGTGTAGGGGATCTTGTGGGTCCATGCCGCTGCTGCTGCCCTCGACACAAGTCGGCCAGAACTGGACACGCCGCCCGCCTGATGTTGCCTGCACTTGAGCTGGGCACCAGACTAGGGGGCCGGGCAGACCCGAGCACAGCACTATTCCATGGGCCGGACCACCAACCAACGTCAGGTTTCCTGCACTAGTGTTACCTATGTAAAGTGGTTTAGACCACATATGATGGCTACTGAGCCACAATACTTAGGCTTGCTTAAGGCAGATTATATTACAGGCTGGCTGCTGGCCTCCCTAGGATGGAAATTTACACGGCCGATGGATGCGCTGTGCCAGCTGACAGTCAGCTCAGCACAGTCCCGTGGTACTGGCTCACTGGCACAGTAAACCTTAGTGCTATGATATGCATCAAGTGATTCACTCTATTGGGACGATTTCAAGAAGTAATGAACATTCTCTACTTAAGCACATTTTGCAACGACATTTCAACGACTTATCATCAGAGATAAAACCATTTAAACAGCCTAGTAGTCCAGGTGGGCGCACCAGGGAGGGCGCCGTCATAACCTGAGCTTCAGGTCAGTATTGCTTATGAGCGGAGTCTCGGGGCTGAGGAGCCGCCGGGTGGGGGGGTGGGTGGGCGAAGACATCCTCCCTGGTCGTTCACACAGGGACACCTACACCAAGGTGGACGTGACCTATACAGCAGTTACGTCGCCTCACTCACGCGGCCTCAGACACAACCACGCTTGGCACGGAGGAGAAAGGGGCACACCCCCGCCCCACAACTCTTAAAACACCAGCAGCAGCAGAAACCGCAGCCACCACTGGAGGCATTTGTCCAACAAGTAGGTGCTGACTTGCAACCACCACTCATGCTAATGCCCTCACAGTCTGGTTGACGGCTAATGCTGTACCCTGAGGCCAACTTTGTACCACCACCACCAGCGGGCAGAAGTTCCCGAAAGCAAGCCTCATCAGTCAAGCAAATACAGTATTTACAATTATTTTTTAAGGTTATTATAAAGACAGGCAGTGTGCCCATGGATAAATCTAATCCCACTTGTCATGGAGTGACTGCCGGCAGTCTTGTGGGTGCTGCCACACTGGCTGTGACGGGTGGTGGGTGGTGCGCCCCTTGGGAAAATCTACATATTTGGCAGGCTTGCTTTTACCTCAGTACAATCGTGCTTTGTACCAAGTTGGCTTTGAACTTGAATAAAAAAAATATATATAAATAAATAAAAAATCTCAGGAGGCTAGTAGTTCAGCAAAACAAAGAAACAAAGTAAAATTAGGAAAAAGCTTGTTAATTTCCATTCTTGTATGTGAGGTGAGTGTTCGTACAAGTATGTCGCCCAAGACCTCTCTGTTTTCCAGAATTGCATGTAGTATGATTGTTCATAAGTTTCTTTTGTTTATCTGTCAAGTATTTTCATGTGGTGTAACTTGTACTGTTGGCTGTTCCTAGACCACGTCAAGTATTAATGGGTGACGCTTTGTTCACCATATTATTTCTTGTAATAAACTAGTCATTCACATTAATTAAATAATACCTCCTGTAGTGGAATTATATATATATATATATATATATATATATATATATATATATATATATATATATATATATATATATATATATATATATATATATATATATATATATATATATATATATATATATATATATAGGTAGTTCTGCTATAACGCGATAATTGTGTTCTTGTAAAATATCGTGTTATAGAAAATCGCGTCAAATCGCAACTTATGGAGAAAATAGGGTTAGGTGCAGACTTAATGAAAAAATTTAATAGTAGTTAGCCTAACGACAACACAAAGGATAGCACAGTCTAAATAAATGTTACATTCATATCTAATAATGAAATCATACAGTAAATGTAACACTTTACTTGATGGGGGAGAAGGGTGATTTTGAGGTTGATAAAATCGAGCTTCTCTTCAAGTGTTATATCCTTTCTTTTACGATCATCACCGGGAATTCTATCACCAGAACGCTTCTTGTTGATATTCTTCTTTACTATATTCACAGTTAATATTGGAGAAATAGTAAGCAAAAATCGCGTTATAGCAAACAAGCGTTCACGTTATACAAATATCGTTCCCAATTCATAAATCGCGTTAGAGCAAATTCGCGTTATCAAAACACGCGTTATAGCAGAACTCACTGTATATTATATAATATATATATATATATATATATATATATATATATATATATATATATATATATATATATATATATATATATATATATATATATATATATATATATATATATATATATATATATATATATATATCGATTATGGTAATTCTGAAATGAATCTTCACCCTATTAATTTGAAATTAAAGTGAACTTACTATTAAAAAAATGAATTGTAACTAGTTTCAAGAAACAATGCCAAGAGTTTGGGTTTTTCCAACATCAAGCTTTAAGCACATCCGGGCCCCCTTACCCTATTCGTCAATCAAAAATTAGACTGGAAAAATTAATGAAGTCATCGGAAAAAGGCAAAAATAAAAACCTACATCACAAACTTTAACATCACTAGGATGGATTTTTTCCTTGTTTGCTATTAACCATTGTGGTCCATTAGCGGCAAAATACTCTAATAGGGACCCTGACTTAATTTTTGTAGTAAATATTCAGGAAATCTCTGCTCTTAATTTCTTTCATCAATTACCAGAGGATGATAAAATTTACCAGAAAAATTAATATTAGTACAAATGGCAGGAATAACTAATGAAAATTAATATTTCTTCAATCTCAAAGCATACCCAGTCTCATCTCTTATCATACTGCCTTGTTGGGGGACCCTAGATATCAAGTCTGGCACTGGCTATTGCTGACATTGGCCAAAGACGTGGTAAATATGCACAAAGGAGCAGGAAATATACATAAACAGCACAGATCAGACACACTGCTGTAGAAATTCAGTGAATACTGAAACAAACTATTCATCTATTCACCGTGTTCATTAAAAACGCAAGCTGCTTGTTAAATTATATACAACAATTATAGTACCAGAAAAATAATTGTAAAATGTTCTATACACAATAAAAATTAAAAAATTTAAATAAAATAGATTTCTAAACTCAACCCTGCCATGAGTAAAATCTCCATAAGTAATCCCCACTTAACAAGAAATGAGCTGGGTTTGTTTAGACATGCTGTAATATCCCCAGTGTTTTGGCTCTGTAGTTTACTGTAGTCTTGTTTCTCTGGCTGCGGGTAGAGGGTGTGTGAGTGAAAGCCATGTCTGTAGATGGGAAGTTCAAGAAAAGTCATGTGTAATGTCATGTTTTCTGCTTGCAGTGAAAGGTATGTTAAATAATAATAAACTTAGATTTTCCATTGTTAAAGCCCTAAATTAAGTACCTTGTGTTGCTGACTAGGATTTGCACCAATAAGAAATTTTTCCAAGAGATGGTTACATCAAAACATGAATGATTACCCGTTGGCAAATATATGCGCTAACACCTCAAATCTTTGCTTGAACTTCTTGTCTGCATGTTTTTTTTTAATTTGGTCACTCAAAACTTTATTGAATTACTGTTAGAGGCAAAACAAATAGTGTGGCATAAACCAGGAGTATGAATAAGGGGACAGACAGAGCTTTTGTCATGTCCTGCTGCAATCATAAGCTAGGAGCTTTCTAGCTCAAGAGTCCAACTAAGTATAACGACACCATTTTACCATCTACTTAAAAATAAGATAAAATAAACTAAGAAAGAAAGAGAAAGTGAAAAAGCATTAAAATGCTATTCTAAAACACTTAGGCTCTGACACTGGGGCAGTGTAACAAGCTGGGACTGTAAATATATCAAGTGCTTGTTCACATTATCTGCCCTGTTGCCAAAGCTTACCAATTTACACCTACATTTACCAACAATGTATCCTTGTTGCCACTAACATTGCCTCCTACTAACTTACATTGGGTCATCATCAGTGTAAGACTATTGTCAAAAGATTAGCCATTATTAACTTTAGCAGCAGATTCTATATTGCTCGTCAATCCATGCCAAATAGAAAGGACCAGCCTTATTGAAATAAACCAAAGCTTTAAAAATGGCAGACCTTTTGACTATTATTGCAACAAAGACCAGTTACCTCTAGTTAGCTACATCATGATATTAACACACACGTCCATAATATCAGGTAAGATCCATGTTATAAGTTAACTGGTGACCTATACTTAACATACCAATGAGTGGATCAGTATCCATCAAAGATTACAGTGAACTGATAAGTATTATAGAGTAAACAGTTCAAAAGTAATATTGTGCCTAATCATGGAATAATTTTAGAAACATAACACACTATTGTTGAACAGTATTGTACATTCCACTGAATGAGCATATAGGGTACACTGGGTAAACTCCATCATGGAGAAATACACTTGGCTCCTTCACAGGACAACCTGTATTCAAAATATGGCTTTATGCTAAAAAGCATAGAAAAAAAACTTTAATAATCCTTCTTTATTTCAAATAAAATTTTACCCTTGCACATACATAAGTTTACCCAGTTTAACCTCCTCATGTAATACGATTCAGAATAATGATAACGGTCATATAAAGAGAGCGTAGGACGGACAGCGAGATACTGCCCAAGCTTCCAACTCAGGGAGGGTTTATACTGCACTTATCCTACTTATGACAATTGCTGGGCTCCTCAGGAAAACATTACAGATATGACCACTTACACTTTATTCATCTAAAAAATAAGGGTCAAGAACAGCATATTTCATTAGATAATATGCAAACACAAAAGAATACAGTCAACTTTCAGCATTTGCACCAATTCAGGTTACCATTTGAACTAAATTGTCTTTAAATTCACAAAATTTCACATACACAATTTAGAAAGCACAAAAACAACTGACAATTCATGAAGTCCTAAAAAAATGGACAATTAGATGACTCCTTTCAACATCAAAAGCCTCTTGCCTGGGGGTTGCCACCCTAAAATTTTTTGGAAATGGCATAAAGGATGTTAGCTTTCATGTAAGTATGGGAATATATAAGTAAATATAAAAGAAAATCTTCCTGAAATGATTTGCGTGCCTCCAGTAAGACGTTGTCAGTGACGAGTCCCTGAGGGGTCCAGCGAGAAGAGAAACACTAGGCCCCCAACCACTGATGGGTGGGAAACAAGAACGTCCCTAACAACCGTCTCTTGACCACAAAGCCAGCAGTCTTGCCTGGCTGTTATTCAACTCCCAGAAACTATTACTAACTGCAATGATTACTAATAATTCCACTGACGCTTTTAATAATCTCTGGGAGTCATGAACAGCACAAGGTGATTATAAATATCTACTACTAATTACTCACAATCTATGACTGTAAGCAACTCTTAGATAGATATTGACAACCCCATTATTCCCTGCCTGGCTGCCAACAACCCTGGTGTACCCTGCAGGTCACTAGAGCAGCAATAAAGCTAGAATGACCCAGGTACATTGGGTCATTACTGCTGCTGCTGGTGTTGGTGCTGAAGCCTCACTCAGCCATCTTGTTGGGGATGTGTCTTGAAGATGAGAAGCAGAGCTTCATGATGAATGGGAACTTGCTGTCTGTGGGCACAACAGAAAGAAAATACAATTATTCCACGGCGTACGAAAGTCTTGCAAGTAACTTGCACCATTGTTAAAATATCACAAAGCACTTGATTCCATTAAATACTTACTAGGATTGGGGATAGGGGCATGATTGCCAATCACCAATGCCTCCAGGGCCTCAGAAATGTTTGCAAACTCCAGAAGTCCGCTAGAGCTCCTCTCAGCTGTGAGATATATATAATTCAAATAGATATGAGGTCCTTTCTGCAGTAAATAAAATATATTTCAAAGAAAAAACAGCAGTATTCATATTTTTTTTTAATATATAAAAAAAATTATTTTCACTGTGACAAAATACCTATGACAGACTTTGTTGCATTTCATGAAAAGTTGGTTAATCCTAAATTTCGGTAAGCACCCAAATTATAACTGTATTATTTGCTTAAAATATCAAGGTTAATACACAAGGACTTTCCTAATACAACAATGTCTATCAAAGGCATTTAAAAAACAAAAAAGTAATGGTGGTTCATGAAGATCCGTAGTCCATCACACTCGTCTCACTCACACTTACTCTTTGATGGGAAAAGCTTGATGCTCTTGGGCTCAGTAACTTCCCCATCAAGGAACACCTGTTTCAATGTATCTTCATCCAGTCCTGGAGGAGTGTTGAAGAAGTGCAGAATCTGTAAACAATCCATGAGTAAAAACTGATGATATACAGGTTAATGTGCTACATTTGACTATGTATATTTAACTGTAACCATGATCTTGGATGTAAGAACATAGTTACATATACTGTGCATTGTTTATCTGTATATACAGTATATTTACACTGCTCAAGATCTCAAATTATTCAAAAGATGAAACCAACAAAATATTAATGGAAAGAATGATAAATATGATAAGCATTAGGAAAAAAAAAGTTTTATATTGGTTAAAATTGCATGACTGGAAAACTTAGAATACTGTTACAGGGTAAACAGCATTCATGTCGTATAAAAGCTGAAATCCATTTTATTACTTATTACCTTTACTCTCATACCTTACTTTCAGTGATGTAAATGACCCAAACTAAAGCTGAAGTACATCACATGCCGTATTTTTTAATTAGTAACAATAAATAAAATATTAAAAATCACCCATGATAAATATTGTATAAACAATGTTTTTATTTTTAATTTGGGACCTTCAGGTCAGAGGGTACCCCTTTAAGAACATGATAATTTGGGCTGATAGTCTTTTGAGTTCAAACAATACTATTGTAAATACTGTACAGTAAAAACCCTGAGTACCAGACTAATTAAGCCACAGTAATGTCATTACTCAAATGAAATCCTTTATTCAAGCATCCACATCAGCAAGGAGCACAACTGTTCAAAACAGCCACCATATTAGACTAACACAGATTGGCTCATTTAAAATCATAGTAAATTATGATATACTTAAAGGAAATTCGTTTGTTTTCTATTTAAAGTGTTAATAGATGTAGGTAAGGTTCTAAATTCAAGATGTTTTGAAAGCCACAAGAAGATTTTCGAAGGTTCCAGAGTCCCAACGTACATACTGTATTATGTGGCAAGGATGGCCTTGTGCAGTGCGAGATAAAGTAGATGATGTGAATGTTCACGAAATACACTTTATTCTTGGGAACTTCGTTGTCATAGGTAGATTTAACAATGAGTAAAAAGGATATAGGCTCCAATCCTTTCATTAGTCTGAATTTTATTATGCTAAAAATAAGTTCCTTCCGCTCTTGAACCACCCCTATGGGTGATGCCGAGAGTGGACGAGTTCAGCCAGCTGACTTGAGACACGTAGCTGCTATGTTGTGTATGCCGTGACATCACATTGGGGAGAGCTTGATGTAGCCATACGTACGTTCACCTCCCACAAAGATTACTGTTCATACTCGCTCTCCTAATTTTTCTTTTCCATAGTTTATAAAAAATTTCGTCACATTAGAGCACTGAAATAATTTCCCACAACTTCCAGTTTCATAACATTAATCAGTGGCAATATGCAGAGCCATCTCTAAGTCACAACTGCCTGGAGGGTTGTCAATGTATGTTATGTAGTAAAGATTATGCGGGTGTGTGTGAACGATTGATTTAGAAATTAGGCTCAAAGCCAAGCAATGGCGAAAATAGGCCATTCAGCATTGTACAGCAATTCGGGGATGTCCCTTATACTGTATAAGAAACAACCACATCCTATCAAAACAAAATTAAAACAGCTAATGCTTCACCCCCCTCTCAGTGGAGATGAAATAAATTCAGTCCGAAATTTCTGTATTATCTCAAGATAATCCTCTCTGCTCTTGGGGCCTTACCCGAACGTAGTTACTTGGCACCGTTCTCTCAATGCGTAGACTGCTTGCAATGCGACTGTGTTGTTGTGACGTGTACAAGGCTTGCAGGAACATGTGGTCCACCACCCCGTGTCACTCCACAACAATAACCCACAAGGTATTTTTTAATTTTATTATATCCTCCACCCCCCCTTCCCCCCAAGAATCGGGTGGTTATTCAGACGTGTCATTACCCAGGTGGTCCGGTTCGTGGAGTTTTTACTGTACATACACCAGAAATTCAACACACGCGAATTCGACTATCCGCGAAGGAGCTTTCGAGGTTTATATCTTATTTAAATAACATAAAAGGGAGTGGCACTTCTTTTAAATAACATGTACATCTGCCATGATGTGATGTCATAGCATTCTACTGCTTCCCATACTGCTGTTGTTATATTGTAGTGTTATTACTGTGCTTCAAAAAACGAAGGTCTTTAAGTACATAGCATGGTTAGTAATACACTAGGCCAACAACGATAAAAAATTGAGACCTAACTCTCTATGTTCTCCTGAGCAATTCTAACTTTGTCATGGCTCTCAAAAGGGTTGGATAAACTGGCTAGCAGCATGTTGGCCGTATGTTTGGAGTGAATGAGTCAACCGTTATGACTATGATCCATCAAAGTGAAACAGAATATCGAGAATGCTTTGCACATCTTTAAAGAACTGAAAAAGAAAGCCAGTCAATTGCCAATTACAATGATTTTAATGCTAGTTTCTCCTCATCAACCAACCCTGCACCACCCGCACTTACAGCTCACAACTCCCCTTCATTCCAAGGATATGGCTTCCTCACCTGTCAGCCCTTCATCTGACATTCTGGATGATCCCAGTCCAGAGTTCATAAAGGAGGAGCAGTAATATCTTCAGTATCATTACTGAGGCCTCTACAGCAGCTCATTATGAGGTAAAAAAGTACACTTTATCTACAAAAGCAACACTTCTAATTATTTTGCTCCCATAATGTTATTACACTCATGACTGATAAATTATTTATTCTTCTCAGTCATAAGTTTGTTAAAAGAAAACCTAACATTCAGAATGTATAAATATTTCCATCACAGCACTGCGTGTTAAGGGAAGGCACACTGGGCACTTCCCGTTTTGCTGGACTGATGGCCCAGCAAACAGCAGGATTTTGCCTGTTGCGAGAAATGGACAACGGTTTGGCCGAGAGCTTTGCTTGTCAGGCTAGTGCTCAAATGAGCTTCACATTGGGTGTTGAATATTCAAGTAAAATTTTAAATAAATCATGAAACCAGAATAATTTAAAATATAACACATAAAACGGTGACGTTTCTATTTATTCGTCACTTTAAACCTTCTTTAGTATTATTAAATCATTATTCAGGGTCTTCGTTGACCAGCCAGCTACCGCCACTTGTAAACAAACCATGTCGCACCCAATGTCTTTTCTTTGGCCTTTGCAGACACCTCACTTGCTTCAGTAATTGAAGAACTATAGCACAATCCTGCAAGGCCTCAACTTTAGTTGCTGTTTTCGTTGGGTTGGGCAGACACGCCAACAAAAAATTTTAAGTGTGATGCAATTGTCTCTGTTTTGCTAGCCAGACTGTATTTGCCACTGCCTTTGAGCGAGCGTTTCTTGTATGTTGATGGCGCAGTGGTGGTGGTATGAGCCGTTACTGCAATCCACTCGACTTTCCTAACATCACACCACATTCATTTGCTTTCTCATTTATTTTTTAACACATAATACCACTGTATAAGTAAAATGTATGTTACAAACCAGTGTAGTTAGAGAGCTCGAGCAAAATATTTTGCTCCGATTTTTTTTTTTTTAAACCTCCGGTCCCTAAATTAAGGCATGATATTATAGGTAGGGTATTAAAAAATGTTATTTACAAAATTTTACATTCGCGAATGTCCCAAGCACCCATACCTCGCCAATGTTGAGGCTCCAGTGTGCAGTATAATATTTTGGGTTTGGTTCCAAGTTTATAACCCATACTTTTGGTGGCAAAACTAACTTGTTCACAAATGGTTGGTCCCAGAGGTGTATGAAAACTACTGTACACACACATATTGCCTGCATATACCTTAAAGTTTGAGAACAGCAAATGTAGAAATAGTACAGGGAAAGGACTTTGTCATAAGCAAATATTCTTCCCTGGAACATATAAAATGGCATAGCTACAGCACAACTCATTTTTCATTTTCTGACGAGGTCTGTGATAAAACTTACGAATTGAATCTACAAGAAGGTTGGTTGTCTTCAATTTCCTTCAGGATTAATTGTACAATGCAAATATTTTAAGTTCATTACTTGATTTAGAATTTTCTAGTTTGACATTAGTGTAGGTTAGGGCATACATAAACAAATTCTTGACTCCTGCAGAGATAGCGAGATAATGCATAACTAGCTCTTAGGAAAGTGCATAAAAAGATGTAGAAGAATGTATGAGGTATTGGTAGAGCCCCTAAGTACAAGATGAATAGTGAAACATAATACCAATGTTGGAAAGAATTTCTGTGATTCAGCCTATTAAGTAAATACAAAGTAAATTTAGAATTTCACCTTTGAGGGAGGCTGTATCCTGTTCTTGGAAGCCATCTCTGGGTTAATGAATCTATTGTTCTTGTTACCCATGTAGTCCTTGAATGATGGGGTCCCATCTGGCAGATCATAGGGTTGCTGTACATCAGCTAGGAATGCCTGCTTGGAATACCTGCAATAGGAGTCGATGTTTAAGCATTTTCATACAAATAATTCCATCCTATAAACCCTTTTAAGTAAGTGCTCGCAGTAAATACATTAATGGTCTTACACCTCTTAATACTGTAATCTTCTATTTTATTGCAGTTTCATATTTTACCATTGAGAAGTCAATCCAATGAAAATGGTTGTAAAATTATGCTAGATTACATGCATAATGCCTTTTGGTTCACTAGATTTGATTACAATTAAAATTAGATTTAAACCAGGGTGACTGACTGTAAAGACACAGCTTATGGAGGCACCAAAGATGAGAAGGATTTGCCAAATTATAAAACTAACAGTTCAAAGAATGACAACGGTACAGAAAGCAGTAAGGTAAAAACTAAATGAGCTAAGTAAAATGATTCAAACTACTGTTTACTGGTAACAATAAGAGTATTAATTGTTAAAACGGTGTAAGATAATAAAATTTAATTGTAAACTACTTATTCCCATTTCCACTTTTTAACTCCTAAGGTTCTGGCATATATTTATGATATTCAAAATACAAATTAACTTAGTACAATAAAAGAAAATATTTTAAAATTCTTGAAAGCAATAGCAAATGTTGAAAATAATTTATGAATGAAAGAAAGGAAAATCCGGCTCAGTATAAAATGTACAAGAAACATACAGGTAGTTAGAAATTTGTCATCTCTCCTTAATTTTCAAGGGTAAAAGAGGATATTGCATTAGTAAAACAAGAGTGTGTGGATACAAATGGTACACTATTATATATACTTCCTCAAATGTATAATGTTCCAGGAAATACCCTCCCCCAAAAACATCAAAATTAATACATTTGTCACACCAAGAGCTTTCTTTGGCCTGCAAACAAGAAATATCTTGTACACCACCACCACAGTGAGAAACTTACCCTAATTGCATTTTGCAACCAAAGAATGTCGTGTTGTTCAGGTTGGCAACAGCACGCTCCACAGCCAATGCATCTCCCATCTGCACCATAGCACATCCCTCCTTTGTTTTCAAGAATTTGATCTGCAAAATTTTACTTTATTAAACACTGCCTGCAAGTTTTGTTCACCACACCTTTAATCCATATAGACAGTAGTCCAAATGTGTTGTCATACTATTTGTAGTATAATGTCAATGTTCATCAAAGACTTTATATATTTATTTTATTTTTTTTAATATACAGTACAGTACTTGTATTTTAAAAATTTCCAGGTTTTAAGGAATCTGGAAAATTACTAAACACTTTTTTAATCACTAATTAAAAAATTTGTATGTTTGCATATAACGAACAGAAACTAACAAAGTGCATCACATTTTGATCTTACCCTCACAATATTACCATACAGGCAAAGCAGGTTGAAAATGCGATCAGCATTCATCTTATCCTTGTTAAGTCCATATACCATGAGTACAGCACCCTGCTGAGGAAGTCCAGGCTGTGGCTGGCCCATGGCAGAGAGAGATGCTCCTCCTGGACCACCAGCTCCACCCATGAAGGGCCCTCCCTGACCTTGCCCACCAGCACCCATTAGTCCACCACCACGAAGACCGCCATTGCTCATGCCATTGTTCAGCCCAAACCTGAAACACATTTATCATTTCATACAAGTCATAAGAGATTTCAGATGGACTGTTCACATTTCATTATCCCACCTTCATTACACTGTACAAACATATATTTCACTCTAGAAATAATTTTCTGCCTTGGCACATTCCATCTCTAATTGTGGCAACTTTCATTATCCTACAGAGTTCCCCTTCCAGAAGATACAAAGATTTTCATCTGGATATTGATATAATGTACAACAAAAGAATTGTCAAATTTGTTATTCTACCTTTTGTAAAGTCCAGTAGTATTATCCTGCCATTACAATCATTGACTTTTTTTTCAATGTTTTATCAATTCCTATCCTTTCTCATTTACATTCCATTTTAGAATTCTTTTAACAACCTTTTAAATATTCATGATAAACACTGACAAATTACCCAGTAAATCAATTACAATACTGCACATCAAACTGTATTTCAATAAAATACTTGTAAAGTTTATATTTCTTTAGTTAGATGTTTATATTGTACATATGTGAAGTCGAGCATTGTAAAAATTATCCCCCACACTGTAGGCAAATGCCACTCATTATAAACAAACCAATACAGGTATTGTACTTCTGAACCTCCGACTAATGAACTTCCAGATATAAACTAACCTGTTCAGATGTACAGTCGGCACTTAACATTCCCGGGTTTAACACACGGATTTGCAAATACGCGGATTGCCGCGGGAGGAATATACATTCAAAGGAATATACATTATTCAAATCGCGCGCGACACCACACACACATCGCCCACGCCACCGCGTGTTCCCGCGCTCCCTCAGTCAGTTAGTCTCGCTGTAACCACGCTTGTGTTGACGTTGACATCAGCATTGTAGTTGCAAAAATATTACATTTCCGTGAATGTATTATATCAAGCACAGTATGAATAGAATATCACTAATATAACAGTATTTTAACCAAAAACCATTAAAAAAACGAGGAACATATCTTGAAAATTGGAAGGTTAGGTAAAGTCTTTTTTCATGTAGTTTATCCTAATTTATATTGAAATACATTACGTTTCAGCAAAACTACTATTTCTTTCTGAGAATATGGAAATGTAATACTTTTGCTGAAATGACGTACGTATTACAGTGGAAAGTGATGAAAGCAATGACTTTCGCTTTCTTTCGTTCAAAAGATGTTACCATACTGGAATCGCTTTTCGAATGGTTTTCAGTAAAAAACTGTCGTATTACAATAATATTCAATCCTAATTCACTTGTGATGCAACAGTTTTTGAAAACCATTCAAAAAGCGATTACGGTAACATCTTTTGAACGAAAGAAAGTGAAAGTCATTGTTTTCGTCACAATTTTATCCCACTTTCCACTGTAATACGTACGTCAATTCAGCAAAAATATTACATTTCCGTGAATGTATTATATCAAGCACAGTATGAATAGAATATCATTGTAATATAACAGTATTTTAACCAAAAACTATTAAAGAAACGAGTAACATCTCTTGAACATCAGAAGGTTAGGTAAAGTCTTTTGTTTTCGTCATGTATTTTATCCTATTTTACATTGAAATACATCACGTTTCAGCAAAACTATTTATTTCTGAGAATATATTCATTCAGGCGCAGCTTAGGTAAAATACACATGTGATGTAACAGTTTTTTAACTGAAAACGATTCGAAAAACACGTACCCTCTAGCTCTGTTCAAGGAGAAGACGGGGAGGAGCTGTTTGGTGCTGAAGACGATGACAAGGAAAATCATTTTGATGGATTTTAATGAAAATATTCAGAAATATTGTATCGTAGTATTTATTCAAGTGAATTAGGATAGAATATTATTGTAATGCAACAGTTTTTTAACTGAAAACCATTCGAAAAGCGATTACGGTAACATCTTTTGAACGAAAGAAAGCGAAAGTCATTGCTTTCATCACTTTCCACTGTAATACGTATGTCATTTCAGCAAAAATATTACATTTCCATATTTATTTCTGAGAATATATTCATATCAGTCACAGTTAAGGTAAAATATACTTGTGATGTAATATTTTAATGAAAATTCCCGGTACGCGCGTATTTAGAAATACGGTATCGTAGTTTTCTTTTGTTTCAAATTTAATTAGCAAAGATTGATGTTCCAAATGTAATGAACAAAAATTTATGTATCTATAAATAAACTTTAAAAAATGAATACTTTATGTTTCACATCGTCCTGTGCATACCATACCATGCATTTGGCTACTTTGGGCTTGCTATGATGACGCAAGAGATCTGCCCTGGCAACTGTACCGACACTCACAGCTGGTGGTGCGTCGTTTCCACTGTTTACTGGTAAATATTTTTCAGCCTAACGAAACTATTACCCGTTTAGAGGTCGACCCCCAATTTTTTGCCAAAAAATTTGGTCTTAAAAACCCGAACTACACACAGGTACATACGGTAAATAAGGACATGGGGGCCAGGGGTGTTTTTAGGAGGGGGAGGGGGAGGGGGAGGGCGCAGCAAAAATACGCGGATTCTTAACATTCACGGGTATCTCTGTTACCTAACCCCCGCATATGTTAAGGGCCGACTGTACTGTCTGTGATCATTAATGTTAAACATAACTACCCTGGACTTGCCTACCATACCCCTAGATGCTTTATGTTGCTACATGAAGAGCAGAACCTCATACACTATACTGTATATGCCATTTTAAATCTATAAATACCTGAAGTAAATGATGATTTGCAAATAATATCCCTTTGTTTGCATCTATTAACCTCGCTGGTGGCATTAATGCCAAGTTAGATTCTTCAATTGAGCCACATCCCCCAAGCCCTCTGCCTACCAGGTTGACTGTAAGCACCAGTATGTTTTTTGTTTTTTTAAACCTGTAATATATACTTACTTACTGTACATACGCACACACTCTTTCATACATAAAAGTAAAAGAAATAACTATGGTAAGATCAAAAACATGAAAAGGAATAAACATTTCTCAGGCTGGCTGAGCAGAGGTGAGGGGAGGGGGGTGAGTGTAGAACCCCCATTGCTAAGGGTTGGCAGAGGTAGCATCCCCAGCTAGGCTTCAGTGTTATGGTGAGCTTTGAGGCCATCCAGCCAGCATCGATGCAAATGCCAGCTAGGTTAAAGATTTATTAAGCTTTTCATTTATGGTTTTAGCTACAGTACTGTACTTTTTTCATCTAGATAGTATTATATGCAAATGCTGCTTTAAGTAGCACATTTGTTAAATAACAAAGTTATTTATTTGGTATGGTTTATGAATACTGGGAAGAAGGTACAGCAAGTTGTGAATTTGCTTCAACCTTTAGGTTTACCATGTAGGTGTTACTTTACATCTGTGATATTCTTTACTTTTTTTTATACAGTATATACACATTTACAATCTCTCCTTCACGGAGGAGAAATAGTGAGTTAGCAAAACCTGCTACCGTAGATGGCACAGGACAAAAGGTCGTCCTGTATCATCATACAGTATTACCATTTGGCCTGCCTACACCACAAGCTCAAGATGACAACATCTGCTGGCGAGTACATTAAGTATTGTGAATACAGTGGTATATTTACTATATACTGTACATGTACAGTAGTGTTTGCATAAATAAATACCGCCCTGTGCCTATCCGATGGCAATTAAACCTACGTACCAACGGTGCTCCCTGTTAGATGCGTAGTTTAAATGTAGAAACATTCACCAATGCCTTGAAAAATTCCATAGCTATGCAATTTTTTCAGGGAATAAATTTGTTCTCAATACCTGAAAATGCTCTGCAGAAATAGGGGTTGGGTGTAAACGGGACTGCCCAGTATGGGCCAATAGGCCCGCTGCAGTTTCCTCCATTCTTATGTTCTTATGAAATTGAAAATTGTTACAGCTACTGTACATCTGTTGAGCTTATTTCAACATCACAGATAGGCAGTGTTGTTATTTTACTCTCACTCTGCCTCTGGTAAGATTAAACCAAATATCTTTGTCTAGATTACCTGTCTGGCATGGGATTATTGAAGAGACCTCCAGAGCTGCGTGGTCCACCCATCTGGCCATTCATGCCACCTCCTGCAAAGAGAATATCGGTACAGTATATAAAACAAGTAAAACAAACAAACAAATGAATTTAAGGAGAAATATAGCATCACACATAATTTCAATGAAGTCATTGTAAAAGCTTGCATATATAGTCCTGAACATTTTATTCGTGTCATTTCTTTCTAGTTAAAATAGTCTTGTTGGGAACCTCTGCAGCATCACTTACAAAATTCTGTGAAACCATCAGTCCTACTTTTAACCTCCCTTAATTGACTTTGTTGCAAAGAAAAAAGTTTATGGGTACAATGAGACAGTTGATTTAGCGAGAATAATACATACAGTACAAGCGAACAACAACAATGTGGACTAGGTTGAGCCTTTTGAGTGCAGTATTGTACATGCTCTATAGAGGCAGTGTGAACTTCAGTTGACAGTCTGGAATAATTGGATAAAATTTCTTTCCACGACGAAAATGTGAAGATAGCCGAGATGGCACCATCTTGTACAACTCTTGCCAACTCGCACCCCTTTCACATTCTCAAGACACCAAGTTCCTGCATAGCCTTTATCAGCTTCTATTTTGACAACTCTTTCTTTTGCCCTATCTCCCTTTATTACTACAATCTCTTTTTCATCTTATAATTTGATGTCCTCTCCATACGAACCAAACGACCTTTAAAATAGTTTCCTAAATGCCATCTGCTCCCATAATCTTCACTGCTTATTTCCTCTTAAATGCTTAGTGTGTGCACCCCGTGAAAGAAAAAAAGTTCATATTTGTGTAGATTCCTTGCACATCCACATTTCACTCTGTAGTCTGGTAAGTAGGAAAATGTTACACAAGTACAGTGCAGTAAACTCTCTCAATAAAGGACGTCCTTTGTCTGGTATTATTAGTGGTCTCGGCCTGTCAGATTCAGCAACGGGACTGTCCACTATTGACCAGGTGTACTGCTTTTAAAATATCTCTGAACAAATGAAAATGAGTCCTGACTGCAGTAGTGCACAAAGAAAAGTACTTACAATAGTATCAAAATATGTAAATTCAAATCACATATAGAAATTCCATGACCCAGCATTTAGGAAGATTCCCCATACTCAAGTGTACCATATAATGCATTTTGATGGTTGAGAATGATGTGCGAGTTTTTCTTTTACAGCATTGTTTGATTTTTTGTGTATTACATATACGTATACTGTTTTGACTGCTTGCTATTCCCACGTGGAGGTCCTGTGTTCGATACCCAACGAGTGAGGTATTGTTTGTATGTTGAGGTCTGCACACATTTGGACTTTATCCTACCAATAGGGGACTTGGCATGCATTAATTAGATAATTAATCTGGTATTGGGAAGATTGACAATAGTTTATTTTGCACCCTCAGTTAACATGTTTCCCTTTCATAATCTTGTTCACAAACACGACTCCCTTTCTACTTGTCAATATTATATAAACCCAAATTTTGTCCAAAAATGTGCAATGTCTACACAGTACCAACTCCAAGTACAGTACAGTATACAGTACAAATTCACTATTGGTATTCAGTATTGTAGTTCCTCATCCACCTTTATCTTGTTGGTTGGCAGTACAGTATATATATAGTCTCTTGACTAGAGTCAACCATTCCATTCACTAACAAATTGTTGAATGTTTTAAATCATTTTCAACAAATAAATGGATACAAATTAGACTGTTCCTTCAATGACTGGAAAATAAGCAGTCATACTTTTGAGAAATCGTGTCTCTCCTTGTTTGATGCACTTTATGTAAAGATGTACCTCATAGATATACCCCTACTTTTTTCTTTTTTATATAGCCCCAAAATATAAATGAAATCAATGAAACTGACTACTCATAAAATTGGAGGTGCATGCACAATGAACTCACTGAAGGGAGAGACATTCATCCCAAACCCACGGGGTTCCTGAAGCAGAGGAGGACGGGAAGAACTACCACCTCCACCGCCACCACTATTGTTCTGGGGCTCCTTCATCCCTGAAAAAGGAGATGTACAGTTAACACTTACTGCATCTACCCTCAAATGAAGCAATTGAATAGTAGGGATTTGTATAAAGAGAGTTGATGGAAAGGTAATATCATAATATTAATTAGAATGAGGATCTTTATACTTAATTTAGGAACAAACTGATAGCAATTTTTATAATATGCGGTGTCACCTAAGACCTAGATCGCCAGGTTGCTCTGTAGTTTGCCACTTATAATATTCTTTTTGAACCACTTCTTCAAAGAAATGTGGAAAACAAAGATTAAAACGGATCAAAGTACTGTACTCTTTAACTAATATTAAGCAGCTGGTCACCTTACCCTTTAAATGCAAACACACTTCCTTGAGCCAGTTCAATTTTATTAAAGTCTTTACTGGGTACAATTTGTACATGCCAAAACAAATTCAAGGGCAGGACTTAAAGATGATGAATGAACTTAATACCATATCAATGCTGAGTAAAATATGAAGTCCTAAATAAGTAAAATAGATTGAAAATATTAAAAGATAATCCAAGAATTCATATACATGAGCCATAAAATTACATTTATCTAAAACTTAATACTACTACTACTGTACTTTCAATCTGGTTAATAAACGTTATCTTTTTTGTGTATAATGAGACAACAGTATTTTTTCACACTTTCACAGAGTATACCGGTACTGTACAATACTATATAACCAACAGACATGGGATCTTATTGCATGCCACCCATTACTATTAATGTACTACAGTACTGGCATTAATATATTACTACTGTATCACAACTACAACAATTACTTTTAAACATTAACCGAAGGTGGTCAAGTGCAGTACTAACCACAATGCCTCCAAGTATACCTAAGCCTTAGTATGTAATGTGCTGTATCTACACTCCCCAATGAGAAGCCAGGATCATTGTACAGTACTATAATCTGTTCACTCAAAGTTTGCAAAGGAGGCTTAGGATCAGTTTGTAGCAAGGCAGTGGATTGGTTCTTGGACGGACACACGACGAATCACTCCAGTTATTTTAGTAACTAATGTATCGCTGCGGTAACGTACTGTATATGCGATACTACCGCATAATTTATGTTATGATATTTTAAGATACTGTATAGTAACTTTTCTATCCACACTTGGGGAAACAAAAATAAGCATTTCAAACACATAAGTGCAATAAACATCTTGACGAGAACAAGAAAAAGAGTACAATACTATACAAAATTTAAGCAACATCCTCCAAGGCTCTAATGCACTGTGTGACATCATGTGACGAGGAGTTTATGTTGCAGAATTTGTTCATCGTCTTCTCGTTACATCTTGATTACCAGTGTGTTTCACATGTTAAACCTTGATTTCCCTAGTGCAAAATTATCAGAGATCAAAGAAAAGTAGAAAAGTCATTATCCTGTGAATATGATAGATTAAAAACTAAAGAACTGTAATGACTTTTTGGGTGTCCGTCCACCACAGACTACAGTATAGTTAGTGTATATCTTGTTTACAGTACCACTGCAAAGACAATCTGCAGAGGACCGCACCGAAGGTTTGATAATTTTATTTTTATTTCTAGCTTGTTAAGAGGTACACTGTACTGTTTTTACTACCTGAATCATATTGGAGACATAAAATACTTCATATATGCTGTGGGATACAACCTAAAGCACGAAAAAGTTAATAAAAGATAATATAAACCAAAAGACCTGGAAATATTATGACGATGCCCTCTAAGAGGTGTGTAGGGTGAGTGAGTGTGTGTGTAGGGTGAGTGAGTGTGTGTGTGTGTAGGGTGAGTGAGTGTGTGTGTAGGGTGAGTGAGTGTGTGTGTGTGTAGGGTGAGTGAGTGTGTGTGTAGGAGGAGTGTGTGTGTGTGTAGAGTGTGTGAGTGAGGTGAGTGAGTGTGTGTGTAGGGTGAGTGAGTGAGGTGTGTAGGTGTGTATGGCAAGTGAGGTGAGTGAGTGTGTGTGTAGGGTGAGTGAGAGTGTGTGTAGGTGAGTGAGGAGGTAGGGGTGAGGAGTGAGTGAGGGGTGAGTGTAGGTGAGGAGTGTGTAGGGTGTGTGGGGGAAGAAAGGGAGGGAGGGGTGAGGGGTGAGAGTGTGTGTAGTGTGTGGGTGAGTGAGTGAGTGTGTGTAGGGGTGAGGTGTGAGGTGGGGAGGAGGTGTGGGGGTGAGTGAGGAGGTGTGGGAGGGTGAGTGAGAGGTGGGGGTGAGGGAGTGTGTAGGGGGGTGAGGTAGGGGGTGAGGGAGGTGTGTAGGGGTGAGGAGTGTGTGAGGGGTGTGGAGTGTGTGTAGGGGTGAGAGTGTGAGTGAGAGTGTAGGGTGTATGGAGAGGTGTGTGGGGTGAGGAGAGTGTGTGTGTGTGTGTGTGTAGGGTGAGGTGAGGAGGGAGAGGTGTGGGGGAGGAGAGGGGAGTGAGAGTGTGTAGAGTGGAGAGTGAGAGTGTGTAGGGTGTGGAGTGTGGGGGTGTGTGTAGGTGAGTGAGGGGTGAGTGAGAGGTGTGTAGGGGTGTGTGGAGAGGTAGGTGAGTGTAGGGGTGAGGAGGTGTGTAGGGGTGTGTAGGGTGAGGGAGTGTGGGAGTAGGGAGAGGTGTGGGTGAGCAGGAGTAGGGGTGTAGGGCAGAGAGGAGGGAGGTGGGTGTGGGTAGGGTGAGGAGGGGTGGGTGGGTGGTGTGTGGGTGGGTGTAGGGGGTGGTGTAGGGGGGTGTAGGTGGGGGGTGGGGTGGGGAGGTGGTGTGTGGGGTGTGGGGGGTGGGAGTGAGAGGTAGTGTGTAGGTGGTGGAGTGGGGGGGTGAGTGGGTGGGGTGTGTGTAGGGTGGGTGTAGGTGGGTGGGAGGTGTGGGGTGTGTGGGTGGGTGGGTGTGTGTGGGTGTGTGTGGGGTGGTGTGTGTGGGTGGGTGGGAGGGTGTTGGGGGGTGTGTGGGGTGGGAGGGTGGGGTGGGGGGGTGGGTGGTGGTGGGTGTATGTGTGGTGGTGGGTGTGGTGGGTGGTGTGTGGGTGTGTGTAGGGTGAGTGCGTGTATAGGGTGTTTATGTGCATAGGGGTGTTTATGTATAGGGGTGTGTTTTGTGTATAGGGTGTGTCTGTGTGTGTGTATAGGGTGTGTGTGTGTGTGTATGTGTGTGTATAGGGTGTGTCTGTGTGTATAGGGTGTGTGTGTGTGTATAGGTGTGTTTTGTGTGTGTGTGTGTTTGTGTGTGTCTGTGTATAGGGTGTGTTTTGTGTGTGTATAGGGTGTGTTTGTGTGTGTAGGTGTGTATAGGGTGTGTGTGTCTGTGTATGTGTGTCTGTGTATAGGTGTGTTTGTGTGTGTGTGTATAGGGTGTGTGTGTGTATAGGGTGTGTTTGTGTGTGTATAGGGTGTGTGTGTGTGTGTGTATAGGTGTGTGTTGTGTATAATAATAATAATAATAATAATTAACGGTTTATTGAAAGAGCTTAGCCAGAAGGCTGAAAATATACAGTTACATATTTGGGGAATGGGTTACGAATTACAAATAATATAGCACAAGTGACACAAATATATAATAACTAGATGGGGAAAAGCTCAAACTACAGTTCATTTCAACATAGTGACAGTGTAAGGAGCAGTGTTTACTGGGAGTGAATACACTGATTTATTACAAGTTATTGTGTGTATAGGTGTGTTTGTGTGTGTATAGGTGTGTTTGTGTGTGTATAGGTGTGTTTGTGTGTGTATAGGTGTGTTTGTGTGTGTATAGGTGTGTTTGTGTGTGTACTGGGTGTGTGTTGGATTACAAGAATGCTTTCAAACCATTCCTACACGAGTCTCCCCACCCCATGTTCCCACAGTATCTCGACTTCCTGTAATTTCTGCAGCGAATCACCTCATTGCATATACTGTACATCAACACTGTTTATATGTATTTGTGAAACATTCAATCCCAGACACTGGAATATGTTACTCTTTGGTAACATGATCGGTTTTTCAAATGAACTTAATCTCGTATTGAATCTTCTGCTTTTGCCTTTCCCTCTTCAGATAACAACAGACGCACACAATGTCTCTACTATACTCTATATATGCTGTTGTCATTTTCCTCGAGGGAAAAAAGGCATAATCTTCTTTAGTTAACCTGTAATTTATTCTTCGACGGTAAAGTTAAGACTGACAAAACATCCGACATGGAGTTTACAGTCATATGAGGACTAGCCTAATTAAACGTAGTGGCGTGGGTGAGTGTTGCGAACATCGAGTGAGTCATGATCAAGACGTGACGCTGGGTCCACGCCAACTATCTCAGCCAGTGTTCACCGCCATGACGCACTCTTGGCACTCCTTTCACCACCACAACTGCATTATTACAGCTTTGTACCGTGCCGCCCACGCCATATACACGCGCCCGCTCACCCAAACTTCACACCTGCACCCATGCCAATCTGGCTCGCAACACCTTGCTGCTAATATCCTGCCCTGCTTCTTACAACGACATACACACTAATGCTTCAAATGTATAGTATCCCAGGGCGTATCTTCACCTTTAAATTTTAATAAATACTAACCTCATTACCTTTGTTTTCCTGATCTTTCTATTATGCTCTGTACATGGGAAACCACTTAAATATCCAAATTCATAAATACGTTTGATAGGGGTGTATCATCACGGTGTATATCTAGTGTGGTGGTATTGAGTGTAACCCCCCCCCCCCCATTTTAGTTCTATCAAGACGTAGCACTTGCACTTGGCGCCCCGGGCCACCCATCTTCCAGGCATCCACCTCTTAATTTGAAAGGTCTCTCAGCCACCAATACCAGGCCCTGGATTAATTGGTCTCGTCCAGGTGGTAGGCACTGGACACGTTGATGCCCACCTTGCGAGCCAACAAATCATCTGCCTGCCCATGCATGATCGCCATAATTATATTCTCTTGCTTCTGCCTACATATAACAGTTCACTAATTTATTACCGTGGAGCAAATTTTACTATTTATAGATAAATAATAACGATAATTATAATAATGGTTGCCCCTCTTGTAACGAGGATGACCGA